TAAAACTAGAGTACTGTATTCACTTTCCAGATAGAATCCAAAGACTGTCTCCGCATCCTCGTGGGTAACAAATTATTTTCCACCCTGCAATCCCTTTCCTCACAGACAAAACGTCGCAAGTCCCTCGCTGCTCTATCGCTATTTCCATGGAAAATGCTCATTCCTTAGTTTCACCAGTTCTAACATTCATTGTTATTTCACGCACATTCTAGCGAACCACCTTCATTCTCTTCGTATTCCACTGGTGAGATGTAATGTCCGATCAAACAGCTTCTTTCCGTGAGCCACTGCATTTTGGAACCGAGTCTCAAGAGGATACTTCCTCAATCACTGCAATCTTAACCAGTTCAAGTCTGGGGTTAACCGTTAATTTCCACACATATCCGCATAAACTGTACCTCTTATTATGTAACCATTTACCTCGAGTGTCTCTCAGGACTTGGAAAGGGCGAATATCATTATAAAAAATAAGTATCTGTGTGTGTAAATACGTGTATATAATATTTTAAGTAAGTCTCCTCGCGGAACAGGAAATAACTTGCGAGATTTTCGTGCTATTTAGATCTTGTTCAATTGTTCAATATTGGATCTCGAATAACTTGCGTGGTTTTTGTTTACCGAGATGTTTGTCATATTTTTTTCTTTTTTTTTCTTTTTTTTCTTTTTGTAAATGTATAAATAAAAGAACGACAAACAATCGTTTTTAACAATTTAATGTTCCAATCTTTGTTTTTATTATCCCGACGTTTCGACCGCTGTTCCTTCCGGTCTTCTTCATGCGTCTGTTGATTCAGGTAGTAAATATCATACATATGTGACTTTTCTTTCTCTGCTATACCATATGAAAACGGTTCTGTTAATGTCGATAAAAGTCTGTCCGGTCAGCGCACCTCGCCGATGCCTTATGTATTTAGCATTTTGTCTTTTCTTCACTTTTAATCACAAGTCTGTCGATGGTGCAGAAATTCCCATTAACGTGCAGGCTCTGAGGCAGCCATTGGCAATAGATAGATAGATAGATAGATAGATAGATAGATAGATAGATAGATAGATAGATAGATAGATAGATAGATAGATTGAAAAATATGCGCAAATTATAGGCGTGTGTGTTTACACGCTGATATAATAGTATCCGAAACAAGAGTGAATGAAACAAAGTGGATAAAGCTTAAAGACGGCGCGTTTCGCCGACGTAACGAGTGTTGGCTTAGGCTTGTTCAGGTTGGAATGAAAGACAAAACTGTGCCTAAAGAAGATACGTTGTGATTGTTTAAGATAAGAGATGCAATAATTTAATTACTTGATCAGATCCGACAACTTCTCAACTTCCTTTATCTCATTATCTGTATATATATATATATATATATATATATATATATATATGTGTGTGTGTGTGTGTGTGTGTGTGTGTGTGTGTGTACATTGAGATTCAAAAGTAAGTATACAGTAACAAAACGTGCGCACAAAACATATCAATATAATACTGTTAATAATACTAATATAATACTTAATGTATATCTACTTTTGCAGCCCATATATATATATATATATATATATATATATATATATATATATATATATATATATATATATATATATATATATATCGAGTTTCGATCACGGCTTGAAGCAATCGGACGTCTAGCCACACTGAAGAGCTGTGAAACAGTCTGTCTGTGGATGACACTATATGCTCACGGGACATCCGATTGAGCTTTCGAGAGAAAGATTTTAAAAACAGCTCATACTGCTATTAATGCATTACTTTTTAAGTACGGATTGTGTTCTCCGGGCTGATGGCATATTTCGTATAGAAAAAACGTTAAAAATTTGCCTTCTTCTCTGATGACCTAGGGGTAAGATATCTGGCTGATGTCAATCTGTCGGATTTCGATCCCTGCTTGAGTCAATGGATAGCTGAACAAAATGAGAGATAACAGAACGACAAAATGTGTTAAAAGCTACAGAGGACAGGAAACTGAGTGGAGCCATGATCACCAACGAACCGAATGGACATAAAAATAGATAGATAGAAACAATGTGAACATAGAATCGAACACTGCATTTTAATTGTCTGTTGCATGCTTTAAACATTCATCAGACCATCCCTGATATCGAACGGCCCTCCCCTATAAATACAGGTATTTACCGGCGCGTCCACCCAGTAACCAGATGTGATATAAGGTGAGTTTCTCGGCAGTACCGGGGAAAAATTCACAAATTCCATAAGCGTTTCCTGTTTTGGGGACACCTCAGATGCCGGACAATAAATTTAATTTAAATCAAAGGGGAAGAAATTCAGTTGGGGTTTTGTGTAAACACAGCTTGATCTGAACCCTTTGATATGTATTTGATATAATACTTGATTGAATGAATTGATGAGCAAATTTCAATATTGATATGACAGTTGAATTGTCGCAACACGTATGTCATGTAAGGCACTACCAACTGATTGGTGATTTCGTGCTCAACTTGACGTCCATATTGTCTCATTTTGATCTTGTCGATGCGACCTCCATCTTCTGGCTTTCTCCTTCTATATTTTGGATAGGAATCATTCCCTTTTTTAAATTTAAATCTAATTTCAATCAAAGGGGAAAAATTCCAGTGAGGGTTTGTGAAACCCTACCCCAAGGATCCCTTTTGATCAAATGAAATATACTTATCCAAGTACTCTAGGAGTCATTCCATGGTTCAAATTTGCATTTAATTTAAATCAATAGGGAGAAAATTTTCAGTGGGGGTTTGCGCCAAAGTGACTCCCTTTGATCAAAATGAAATATACTTATCCAAGTAACCTAGGAGTCATTCCCTTGTACAAATTTAAATTTAATTTAAATCAAAGTGAAAAAATTTAGTGGGGGGGCTTGTTCACTACCACCATCATCACTTTCACAACACACCACACCGGGGACTCCCTTTAATCAAAATTTAATATACTTATCTAAGTACCCTGTCTAATGTAGTTTCAGAATATACATGGTTATGAGGGTCTATCTCCAAAACCCTAGGAGGAGTTCGATAACAAACAGACAGACAGATGCTACAACCTTATATATATATATATATATAGCTCTGTGTGTTAGAGATGACGGGTATTATATGAAGCTTTTTGTTGAAAACATAAAAGTTAAAAAGGCTTCCAGTAATAAATTTTCTGAAATATTTTCTTCTTACTGTCTGGCCAAATGTTACATGCCAACAAACAGGCTACATTAAAGCGTTTATAGCCATCAAAGCGAAACTGCTTTGTTCGTTTTTGCTGTGAATATGAAATAAAATATTTATGTGTTACATATTAAACAATATGCGTTACATTTCATTAATACACTATTAAAGACTTGATAATATTTTGGCGTTTCTGTAGCGATTTATTTAGAGTGAATTATTCTCAATCTGTCGCCGTGAATGTGAGAATTACATACCATATGTACAATATGTATGCTTTGCTCCGAAAGTAATACCTCCGATTTTGTCGACTCATTATGTCAAATGTGGGGGAACTTCGACATGGTGAAATGGTTAGCAAGCTTGTCTCGCCCGATCAATTACGACTGAGTAGAGAGTTTGACCCTAACAGAGTGCTCCCCGCGTGCGGCCTCGTGCCACATCTAAGCTACGCTTAGAAAATCATTTTGAGCACTATGACATGGTGTGATGGCTTCAAGCTCGTCTCGCTAGATATTTCGATAGTCACTGGTTGACACATACTTCCAGCCTTGTGCCACATGTAAGCTACGCTTAGAAAAATAACGATGATGTCAGAGGCGGGTGTCAATGTTTGTCCTGTAGTTTAAAGAGGTTAAATCTATCCAGTAATAAATCATGTTGTTATTGACAGAATGGCGCTTCACATGAAAGTGCGTGGGAGGTATCTATTTGAATTCTTCCATATAAGAATATTCCACCCATTGACATATTTCGCTAAAGACCAAAAACTAAACAAAGGTGGTAGTTAATGTGTTTCAGTGCTGACAGCGATGTGGTATGATTACCCAAATTCTAAGCGGTTCTGCAGAGCTGCTGGCTCATCTCCCTCCGCCGACGTTATTTTACTCCCTACATCTATAGTAGCTTCCGTAGAAATATAAAGATGCATTAGTTTCGGAGCGTCCCTCCTTTCTATATTTACCGCGTCTCAAATTATTAGCTACTTTTAATTTTTCCTAATATCTAGTAAATTAAGGAAAGGATTCGTGGAAATATCTGAACTATTAATGTGCAGGATATTTCATAAAATATGTGTAAATTATAGTAGACTACAAAAAATCTACTATACAGTAGAGTACGGCATGAGTTTTATGGATATCGGCTCGAAATGAGAAATCGGAGGTCCGAGTTCGAATTCAAGTCAAGTTCGTTACATTCACTTACGCAAAAATACCCATAGGAAAGGTATGAATCCGTCTCTTCTCCCCTCCAGCTATGGGTTGAATAGCAGGACAGACTGAGTCCTATGGCCTTGGTTGACAACCAGTCTACCGCAGAAAGAAATGGCAACCTAATGAAGGAAAATCTTCTGCCTCGTCAGTCATGAATCAAAAGCGACATGATCCCCCAAGCGTGTATCACGTATGGCACTTAACTGATAGTAAAGTAAATGCCGCCCTTTCAATGTAGTAATAGTTTTATGAATTGTAATGGATTTTCCAAGTTTCATCTTATCATACAAGTCTCTGAAATTCCAAGAAATATTAAATTGCAAGTATACTTTCGAAACGTGCGCAAAGTTTACAAAGATAAATGATTTGAATAAAAAATTTGAAAACTATGTCGTTGTGATGATGACAAAGGTATAACGACATTAATGTAGAATATATGCTTTATATTCCAAAACTGCTTTAGAAAATCGTTCCTCCATTTTATTTTTTGGGTCTGTTGTACTTCCTATCAAAAAGATTGCATAGAACCAGAATAGCATTCCAAAGCTCATCTTTACTGGTAAATTTGCTGTCCGCTAAAATCTTCTACTTTAGAATGCTCCACCAAATTCCAAGAGCTTACGGTCATACCACATTGAAACACCAGTTTCCGTACGATCACCGAAGTTAAGCAACGTCGAGCCTGGTCAGTATCTAAATGGATGATCGCTTGGGAATCCTACGTGCTGTAAGCTCGGGTGCGCGAGTGATCTAATAAATAACGGCTCGGAATTAGAAATCGGAGAGCCGCGTTTCAATTCCAGCTGGGTTCGTTATATTCACTTACGCGCAAATATCCTTGAGAATGGTATGTCTCCGTCCCCAGCTATGGGTTAATTAGTAGGACTTGCATCATTAATTCATTATCTTCAAAAAATGTATAGAATCTAAAAATATATTCTAGCTTTAAATAACCCACAACAGGTTGATAAGCCGTAAAAAAAGAAAAACAAATTATTCAAAATTATTCAATCGGGTTTTGGTTGTGCATCAGACGAGTGTCTTCGAAATCTATTTTATTCGCATCTTACTAAGTTTTCTTCTCTAAATATGATGAACCAATATCGTGCATAAAATTAAGTTCTTTCTAATAATGTTTCCACATGAATCTTCCAAAATTACTGTATGCCTGAATTATCATTTTAAAATAATCTAAGAACTCACCATGGACGCACCACTTATAATTCCATTCCAAAACATCAAATTAACTGACGTTTCAACTTTTGAAAACTGTTTCTGTCAGTAACTACCAAACCTTTATTCAATGCGTCTGCCCCTAATTGTTAGTTGAATAAATTATTGAAAATCATTCTTCATCTATTTTCATTTCTACTTTCCTTATGGAGGCCGAGGCTCTTAAATGCCATTTGACACTTGATTTCGCACTCGATATTTTGTGCTTTTCAAATAAATTCTCTCTACAATAACGTCTAAATATATCACAGCTGAACAACGTCGAATTTTTCGAACTTTTCTCTTGATAGGGGACAGACATCGGCGAGATATAGTCAACAACTTACTCTTATCAAAGCAACTTGGGAGTTGTCCAGAATAATTTGGTGGTACCTGTAAATTCCAACGTTGTTTTACTTTTTGTAAGCTTTGGTGTTATTTAAAAAAGATTCTCTTCGTTCGTCAAATCAGCTCTAAGACACATTTTTTTTCTTTCAATAAGTTGTCAACCCTTTAGAGATTGTCTAAATTCAGAAAATTTTGGTGGATAATAATACATTTTTGTGGGGATAATTATGATATAAGGATACAAGTCTCATTAATTAACCAATAGTTGGGGGAGAATAAATAGATTCATACCTTTCCTAAAGTGAATGTAACAACCACAACTGGGATTGAAAATCAACTCTCTGATTAACAATTAGAAGCCATTATATCACTCACGCATCCTAGTATTCACAATCAGTCACCCATCCAGGTACTGACCAGACCCGTTGCTTAACTTCGGTGATCGCACGGGTGTTTCAATTTGATATGGACGTAAGCTCTAAGACATGCTCTAAAATTCTAAACTCTTCATATCTCTCTATTTGTCTGTCTATCTCATTTTTTTTCGAAATTGTTTTTACGTTTTCTTTTTGTCCATAACATTATTTTTTCTTCTTTTTTTTTCTCGGTGGTCTTTACATTATTTCTCATTCTGACTGAAAGCAAATAAAAATGAAACACTTTTTTCTTAAAGACCTATATTTAATTTTGCCATAACATTGAGCAAATTTTTTTTTACATTCCCGAAAACAGTCAACAAAACATTTTTACTCACAGTGGGAAAAGAAACTGTCATCAACATAATAATATTTCAATTAATTTCACCACTCACAATTTACAAGACATTCTTGATGCGATTTGGCCGGTTAAGCAGTTAAATAAAATGGAGAGAGAAAAATAACAAGCAAAAATATAATCATTAAATACTAAGACCAATTTTAATTCGAATAGCTTTAATCCGTCGCTGTTTAGCAAGATAATTAGATATTAGGTAAAGCATATTTTGCAAGTATTTGAAAGTACAGAACTAAAATTTTATATCAATCCCACGATGAAGGAAGCGAGGTCAGCCTTAAAATAAGGATTTAAAGTCATCATGACTTCCTGGAGTCAAATATTTTGTATCTAATCACTAGTTAAGCCTTTAGATAGGTAAATATGAACAGAATAAGTTAGATAAGAAAGTAAGTGTTGTGACCGAAGGAAGGTTACTGAATATAATAATCACACGAAGGTTGGTAATGAACGATAATAATTAGAACAAGAACAGCATATATAAGATTCGCCAGCGGCGCGTAGAAATAGTCAACAGCTAGAAGTGAGTCAAGTGAATTCCACAATGAATCTCCAACTGCAGGATATCTACCAACCGCCCCACGCGGTTAGATGTGGTGCAAGGCCGAATTTAATATGGTGTATCCGATCTCGTAAGCTCGACCAAAAATTCCCCGTCGACCCCGTATAAAACGTGGATTAAACGAGTGTATGAATTTGCATGTAAAGACATGTCTGTTTATATTGTAGTTTTCTCATTTAATTGTTACATATTTACTCTTTGTTTTCCCACCACACCCAGTTTGTTTACATTTTTATGTAGGTTTTCCAGATGTGATAACTCCAGTCAAATATTTTTAGTGCATATTGATTATTACCGACAACAGCCATCTCTGTATAAATTAAGTTAAAATTATGCATACGTACACACATACACACTCATACACACATGCATATATATATATATATATATATATATATATATATATATATATATATATATATATAAAAAAGAAGAGAAGAGAGTTGCCGCAAACGTTTTTGGTTGTAATGTGGATTTATTTAGAAAAAATATTATGCTTTGTTTTACATAATTTTACGACACGTGTTTCTGGTCTCGCGACCGTCTTCAGGTAAAAGTGAAGATTTCCACATATTATTAAAAATAATAATTAATTTTTCCTCATGTATTACCAACACACAAACAGAAAATGTCTCATATCGAGAATATTTAACATTGAACATGAGGAAAAATTAATTATTATTTTCAACCTCGCGCGATCTTTAGATATTCTGGTCTTCTGAAGATCCCGAGAGCTAGAAACTAGTGCAACGACTCGGGCTGTCCTTTGATGGAAGTTAACGTTGTGAAGCGTATTTATTTTTTTTTTTTTTGCTTTGTCTAGGTAATCTAAGCGTTGAGCACTTTTCTTTACTGAGTAGGTGTATGTTTGCCTTAAGAACTTATTCTTTTTTCAACGTTGTTTTTTTCTTTATAGCTCAGTTTAACTACAATGAGTACTGTTTCTTTAAGCCTTAAATTAAATAATTTGCTTATATGTATATGTATGTTATCACACGCTAACATCTCGCTATTTATTTTATATTCACACACACGTATATAAGTGTGAATATATATATATATATATATATATATATATATATGTAACCCGGATATAAGAGACCCGGATATAAGAGAGATTTTCTCTCGTCCCAAATTAGAGCCTGTGTTACCTAAACAAAATAGACCAAACCCGGATATAAGAGAAACCCGGATATAAGAGACTTCTCCGGTCCCGACAACTCTCTTATATCCGGGTTACGCTATATATATATATATATATATATATATATATATATATATATATTGTTTACTTCTTCTTGTGCCGCCTCCCTTCAAGCCTTCAAGATGTGAGCGATCATGGCTCGCCACAGCTTTCTGATCTTTGTATCTCAAAGTAAAGCTTGTGTTTTTCTTGTCTCTACTAATTCCTGTTCTGCCAAACATTTACACAAACTTGTTAGGTTGATTATTCGCTGCTTTTCTCTTGAAATTGCTAAATGTAACCGTATGTCTAACGGTTTCTTCTCTCACACTTCTCGTCTATGGAGCTCTCTTCCGGATTCTTGCTTTCCTGTCAACCACAATCTTCAAAAATTTAAAAGCAACATTAATCGTCATTTTCTGCCTTTTTTAATCCAATTCTTTTATTGTCATTTTTATTGTCCTTTCTCATCACAAACGTTTTCTCAGTTTCTTTCACTATCAGTAACTCTTTGCGTCTTAGTGGCTTTATCGTCTTGCTTAGGAGGAATTGTTTAAAAAAAAAACTACCAAAATGAGTACCCCAATTTACTCATTTACATGTAATTTCACTTTCAAAGAAAGAACCAATTTTTGAATGATTCCATAAAGGGCCACATATCGTTAAATCCAACAATCTAATCGAATTCAATCCAATTTATGTAAAATATTTCATATCTATCTATCTATCTATCTATCTATCTATCTATCTATCTATCTCATTCTGCCCACATCTATCACTCTAACTCAAAACTAAATACCACAGCACAATTAAACCAATCTACTTACTTAAATGGAAGACGATCGAACGTAATACTGCGCAAAATGCTCCAAATTTAACATTCTCACTTTTTTCTTTCAGTCATTTCGAGAACGTTAACATGGCGGTATCCAATTTGACACACTAAAAGACACGCGATACACTCACCAACTATACTGGATCAGCGATAGCTAGCTTCTTTCCGCGTTCAATGTCATGAACGATCTGAATCTTCTAGCGAATATATGTTATCCGTGGGTAAGAGAGAAAAAAAAACATTCTAATTGCTCAGATGTCGAAAGAACGGCCGAGATCGTCCGTATAATTTAACTTTCCAATAAACAACCAGCCTTTGTTATCAAATGACCTCGTAAGGATTGATATACCGTTTAATCCAACAGCCCAATCCAATTGAATCCCTTGGATTTGTAGAAAGACATTTGTTGTATGATTAAGATGGATTTATTTGGGGATAAATTTATTAGCATTGATAAGTTGTTTCCAGAAAACATTTTGATCTTGATTTGAAACTAATCAGTTCACAAGTTTCTCGTCATTTTATGATTATAATTAACGCGGTTCCTTTATTTTCATTTTATCTTTCATCGCCAAAATGATTCAGATTTCACGTAAAACAACGTTTCCTTTGTATATCATAAAAACAAATGCATTCATGCTGACTTAAGAAAAGCTCACTCGAGTGAAAAAAAAAGTGAATCGTCATGGTTCTTACATTTCAAAAGAGAAAAAAAGAACATTATTTCATATCAACTAAAGGATTTTGATGTGCAGTTAAGTCTTAAACAGTTTTGTCGGTTGATCCTGTGGCGTCATTGGAAAGCCAACGAGACTCAG